CTTCAACCTGAGAGATGTTCTAGCTTCCCTGACAGCCAATATTAGCAGAACCGAGAAACACATGAATTTCAGCTCACGTGAAACTTTCATGAAGTAATTAACAATGGGACCAAAGACGGAACCAGAATCAAGTCATCGTTAGGTCTCAGGGATGAAGTCTTCTTTTTCAGTTCTCCATCACTTTTTGAAATGAACGTGCCCTATGGGTTGGATTTCGACTTCAATATCTCAGCTGATGTGTTGATTTCTTCAATGTGGGGATTCCCTCCCAGAGTATACACCACAACCCATTCATAGCTTCCCATCCTATGCAATGCAAAGGAAGAGACTCTGCAGCCATATAAGCCAACCTCTACCTAATTCAGAATACCCCCTGAAACATCCCCAGCTGTGGTCATCTAGCTCTTGTCTCTGTTCTCCTGTAAATCCTCCAGAAAGGATGTACTCAACATGCTAGGGGCCTTCCTCCTGAGCAAAGCTTCTTAGGTCTATGGATATGGATTTCAGGGAGTCCATGAACTTACATGGGGGGAAACTTCATCTTTATTTCAATATAATTGGCTTCTTTTGTAATTGTTTATATTTTATGCATTTTAAACATCATTCTGTAGCTAAATGATAGAGCACCAGCTCTGGAGTCAGGAGGACCTGAGTTCAAATCTGGATTCAGATACTTGACACTAGCTGCGTGACCTTGGGCAAGTCACATAACCGCATTGCCTAGCAAAAAAAGGAAAAAAAAAGAGCTAAAAACATTATTCTGAGAAGGGGTCCATAGATTTCTCTTGATTGCCAAAGGGGTCAATGACCAAAAAAGAGTTCGAATCCTTGTCCTAGATGTCTCAATATTACGTGGGTGTGCCTCCATCCATTAGTCCTTGTTTTCATTCCTCCTTTTCTGCATACCCATTTCAATAACCTCTTTTATGAAGCTTCTCCCACACAATCCTTTACAGGGACTACGCGGAAGCTTACTAACACCCAACACGTGTCTCCATAACCCTGGGGTTTTGGTCTTCTGGATGTATACCTCCACCAAGGAACAGCATACTGAGTTCATCCTTTTAAATTTGTTTTTAAGTCACTTTCATTTCTGAATATCTCCCTTTCCATCCTGGGTTGTTCACCTGAATACCTTCCAAGTTTTACCAAATGTTTCTGATGGTTGGAAACAGTCCTTCTCTACTCCTTTTCCCCCCTTCCCCACCTCCCCACTCCACCCTATCTCAGATACTCTCTACCACTGAGCTGTCTCTTGCAACAAAGATTAAAAGAGCATGAACTGCCTTCATAAAAAACAGAGTGATGACCATGCCTGATGGCATCTTACAGGAAAATAGTCTCAAAGCTGAGCCTACAGATAACATCATTAGTAATATACTACCATAAATGATTGAACAGAGAGTGAGATGGAAAGTGAATTCAGTTTTATCAATAATTTACTCTCAATGTTTTACCAGCATGTAGTTTCCTATTATCAAAAAATTGCAAGATTCCTCGTCATTTCCCTTGTGTGGGCCTCTGTTTCATTCTCTTTAGGATGGAGGGTTAAAGTTCTATTAAATTGTCTCTAAGGTTTCCCTTGACTCCAAAGTATAGATACTCAGGCCAAATAATCAACCACCTGGGAGGCAGTGTGTTACCATGGGAAGATGTGGGTTCAGGACCTGGGTTCAAAATGTAGATCTGCCACTTATTTAGCTGTGTGGAATTCCCTTCATCTCTTAGTCTGTTTCCTCCTCTATAAAATGAAGGGACTAGACCAGATCAATGATGTCAAACTCCAATCACAATGGGGGCCATTCAGCTACACATGAGGATCCCTACAGGCCACACACTGACTCAGAAAACCACATATCAATGTCATCTTTGTTTTGTTCTATTGTTACTGTGCTAAATATCCCCCAATTACGTTTTACTTCAGTTTGGCCACACGTGGTTGTGTTGGGGGCTACATGAAGCCCCATGAGCCCCACGTTTGACAGCTCTTGACTAAATAACACCTAAGGGTACTTCTAGCCCTAAATCTATGATAAACATACAGTAAAGTGGTTAATAAATTATTTTCTCATTCATTCAGCTTCAAAATTTCCAAATGTGAAAAGTGATTTCTCTCTTAATGGGAGTGGGAGCTCCAACATTCCTCTTGCAGAGTACACGGGTTAACTCCATGGCTAGGTATCTAAAAGGGTCAGAGGTCTTAAATTCAGAAGGCCAGAAGGCCTCTGCTGAGGTGGGCCCTCTTATAATATAAAATGAGGGCACAAAGACACTATTATCTTTCCTCTTCATTACAAACTGGCTAGCCTAGTAACAGGCTTGTCTCTACTTTGGGCTCCATAGGAGCACAAGACCATGAAGACGGTCTTGCTTGACTGGGAAAGCAGCTGTCATCAGATGGCAGGATGGAAGCTCAGGAGAAATGGAAGCTGAGGGAGCACCCGAGAATACTAAATGCTAAACAGGGTGAATGAAGTGGGAGGACAGTCACCCACCGAGGTAGTTTGCAGGCCGGTATTACATAAATGTCAACATGAACCTTAATGAAGTTTTCACAAATGACTTGGATGACTGGAGTCTAACCTGAGCCCCCAAATGCTCTGGCACTAAATTGGTATGATATGGTGCTGGTGACGTACACCCGAGATCTTAAGATCTGTGTGTCACCTATGGCAGCGAGGATCAGGGAAATTCTCCTGTCACATGATGTGCTCTTGTCTGCATCATTTCCCCTGAGGGGTGAAAACACCTTCTGATTTAGGTCAGTCGTATCCTGACAGCCTTATGTGACATTACAACCTGCTCTACAGTTTTGCTAAAATCTGCCCCAAGACTAAATCAGGTTTTTTTCTGACTGGGAGAGGACTAAGGTGGTTGGGTGTGGACGGCAGACCCTCCTAGCAACACTACTATCCTCAAATTGAAGCCTGAGGTGTCAAAAGTCTTTGTTAGCATTCATCCTGGCCTTTAAGAAACAAAATAACCTGCTTCAGCTTCACTGGAAACATTTTAAAATTGGATGAGTTATTCAAGGCCCTGTATTGTGAGAAGCCAATCGCAAAGTTTCACCTCCTTCAGACAGATACTATTCCATGTGTTATTTTCTTGGATTTGCCAATCAACAATTGTTTATTAAATGACTACAGTGTGCCAGATGCTGGAGAAGCTAAGACAAAAGTCCCTGCCCTAAAGGAGTTTACATTCAACTGGCGAGAAAGTTTGTACAAATACCAGGTATCCCAAAAGTCTTTTAACAGATTAAGAAACTTTAATTGCTTAAAACTCTATGAGACTTCTGGGATACATTGTATAAGTATGTGTGTATGTTTATAGGCATATGTCTGTGTGTGCGTGTGACACACACAAATCTACAAAATAAATACATGGTAATTTGGGATAGTACAGGGGAGTAGCAGCTGCGGAGGGCAATCAGGAGAGGCTTGCACATGGCAATATTCACAGGAACACTTTTGGGAGGAATGGGGCACCACACCGTAAAATCATTCAGGAAATCAAATTCCCATTTCTCTGGTGTTCATTTATACAAATCCTACCCATCTTTGAAGGCCCAGCTCGAGTCCCAAGTTCTTGGGGGTTCAGAAACACCAGGAAGTTTCCAAGGGAGAATGGAGTTGTCATAAAACTACAGAACTGTAGAACAGCTCTTCCTTTTAAAGATGATCCCAATGAAGGGCAGAAAAGGGAAATGAAGATCAAAGAATGAGTCAGTAGCAGAGAGAGACCTGGAATTCAAGGCTCCCAATTCCCAGACCACTGACCTTGATACCAGGCACTGTGTCAAAAGAATGTTTACAACAAAGCATATAAAACCATTGTCCAGGAATGATTTAAGTTCCTACCTGTAGGAGGGATGGTCTACCTTTCCTCCCAAGATTCCTTTCATTCACAGAATTTCATGATTACTTGTGATATCTACTGGATTATGGTAATTCAGTTAGAAAGGGTTAACTTTATATTGATACCTCTGTTACACAGCTATTTTAAGGAAATCTTGAGTATCATCATCATTAGTTTGATTAAACACTAATCTTTGACATGCAAAGACATTTCCTGCCCTCTAGAAGCTTCAAATTTGACAGAGATCACAAAGCAGCTAGAAATAGAGATGTTTAAAACAACTAGGCACTGAAGTCCAAATTCAAGATAGGATGAAAGAGGGAATCTTGGAAGCTGAAGGCCAGAAGGAACCACTACTTTTCTACAACTCATCCAGGAATGTTCCTTAAGGAAGTGACCAAAGTACAGGTGGATTCTGAAAAGGAAGTAGAATCTCAGCAAGATCTTTTTTTTTTCTTTTTACAAGGCAATGGGGTGAAGTGACTTGCCCAGGGTCACACAGCTAGTGTCAAGTGTCTGAAGCCACCTAGTTGCCCCATCTCAGTGAGATCTTGAGGACTTCTAGCACAGTCTTGGCAAGAGGAAGATGACCATATCCTTGCCAAATCCTAACATTCAAGTGCCCCAACATTCACGAGTTTTCGAATCGAGGGGAAGTTCTCTTACTTCTAGCACCAAAACATGAATGGAAGGTTAATGAAGAGTCTCTGACTACATGTGGCTATTTTTTTGGAGGCACAGTGGAAGAGTGGATAGGCTGGTCATGAGAATCAAGGAATGCCGGGCCAGAGGGGAGACCTGAATTTGAATTCTGATTCAGCCACCTAAAAGCTGTACAACCCTTGGCAAGTTGCTTAATCTGTCTGGGCCTCCCTTCCCTCATCTGTAGAAGGGGTTTATAAAAGCCTTGTGGGGCTCACCTGAGAGGGTCGCTGTGAGGTTGAAGTGAAGTAATGTTTGTAAACTTTCAGCTGTCACGTGACTATCAGTCAGTACTACTGGCAGCCATAATTCTGTCGGTAATCTTTCAGTCAGGGTTTTGGGACCTTCTAAGAAATGCTCATCATCAATTATGTAATGGCCACTCCCAAATTTCTTCACTGGCTGATGTTCCAGGACTCTACAAGTATAAGCTCAGTACAACCAGTTAGAATTCTAGTTTATTATTAAATTACATAACAAAGCCTTTTCTATACAGACAGAAAATGCACATTAGATGAGAATAAAAATTAATTACAAATACAATAAAATAGGTTCCAATAAGCTATTTTAAAAGAAAAAAATAGAAAGTGCAACTGTAAAAGAAGAGACAAGAGTTTTGAATTGGCATTTTTCATGAGGGAACATCTTTCATCCTGGTGATGTATGATGGTAACTGATTCTCTGTCTCGTTTAAGAGCTGAAAGAATGAAAGCAAATGCAAAGGCCCCAGTACCTGGGTGAGACAGATCTGAGGTACAGAGAAAGTCACCAAAGACCCCAAAATATGGCTCAGCTTTGTCTTAATTTCTCATTCCACAAACAGTCTTGGTCCGTGTCTGGCCCTTCCTTTAGTTTCACCTTCAAGAAAGATTTGAGTTTGGTGATGCACTTCACAGGATCGGCCTACGAACAAAGTCGTGCATCTTTCTAGTATGAGTTCAAAGAGGCAAAACATCCCCAGAGGACGGAACACAACTCCTGGAGTTCTCTGAGGAGCTCCCCACTCATCTGTTACACTTGCCACAGAAGTCAATGTTACGTTAGTCTAGCCAGAGTGACCCAAGTGTCAATGTCCGCAGGGAAGGGTTAAGTGAAAATTCTTGGAGGTCATCAATTATTTGGTGGACTGTAATTAACTTGTTAATGATCTAACTTGAGGCATAACAAATAAATAAGCCCAGTCTAAGCCTGACGTTCTACTCCTTTCCACTGCTTGTTGTAATAAAAAAAAAATCTAGCTAAAGAGAACTACAGAAGTTAATGGTTGGCATGTATGATTGAGGTCCTTCAATTTTTAATATGTTGCAAACTTTGAAAATATGAGATTAAGCCTTTTCCTTGTCATATCAGAAACAGGTACTCCATTCATACTGCCATAAGCACAATCTCTTAATAAGATGCATTTAGTAGTATCCAATACTAAAGAGAAAGTGGTGAATATATCCGATCTCACACACAAAGAAAGCAAGTGACCTCGCAGGGCATTTCTTGCCATGCTGTCTCCATTCTCAGGGTTTTTCCTCCATGAACACAGTTGCAAGTGCCATGAATCAACTTTCCTTGCTGGGAAGGTTTTTCTTACACCCAAACCTACAAATGACCAGGCAGAAAAGCCTTTTTCTGAGAATGAAAATACATGATGGTCAAGTAACGGAGTGGGCAGAGCACTGGCACGGGACGTAGTGACCCTGGGCAATCATTGCGCCTCTCTGACCCCCGGCATCTACTCTCTCTATAAAATGAAAGGGCCAGACAAAATCACCTCAGAGGTCTCTTTCTGCTCTAAATCTCCAAACTCTTATCCCATGAAAAGTAAAATAATGCATTTTATAGGGAGCACTTCACTTCATTCATATATGAATGGAAAATTACCAGGACAAAAGACCAAAAGCACCTAGAGCTGATGGCTTGAATTAGGAAAGAACAAAGTAGTTTTTAATTAAACATTTTACTAAGATATCAATAAACCCAAAGGAAAAAAATGTATCTTTTGGAATTTCCTGCACCTTCCACCATTTTTGTTGCCATGATTTCTCATCTTGACAGTGAATTAGAAAGTTCTGAGTGTCTGGCTGTTAATAAGACATAAAAAAGAAAAATTCATGGCACTGAATGTTTCTTCCCCAAAGCATCAAGCAGCTTTTTTTTTGGGGGGGGGCAGAGAAATAGGATTTCAGAATTGGTCCTTCTCTTCTCAACAAGAATACACTTTTTCCAGGCAAAAGACATGAATTTAAAGACAAGGGCACAGGCTGTGAAAATCAGAACTTCAAAGGACTAAGGTATTGTGGACCAAATGCCACATGGGGAGCAAGAACAGCACTCCTCCCTTTCTTGCTGTAATACCGGATGGCAGAAAGCATACTGGACTAGGAGGAGTCAGGGATCTGGGCTCTAGAGCTACTTCTGCCATTGACTAGTTGGGTGATCTCAGGCAAATAACTTAGCTTCTCTCGCTTAGACCGAGCACTTTCAAACCTTACATTCTATGAGATCGTAGGGGTTGGTAGCATTTTTTTGGAAGGATCTTTCTGGAGAATGTAGGAATACATTAAACAAAGCCATTACAGAATCCCTGATGATAACGAGTATGTCTTGGCCACTGGTATCCAGCGCTAGTGAGAAACACAACAGTAATAATGAATCATATGAGTTTTGGGGTGGCGGGGGTGGGGGATTGTCGGGGAAGGTCACAAAGTGAAATTCATTACCAATAACCACAAAAGAAACAAAGGATACCTGACAGAAATTCTATTCCTTCACATATGCATGACCCTGACTTAAAGGTTAACCAGCCAACAAAACTGATTATTTAGTTATAGTAAGCAAGATTATTTTTTTATAATAGCAATTTGATTCTCATACAATTAGATTTAATGAATGCACCAAATAATCAGACCAGTAAAAAGACTGGTTATATAATTAAATAAATAACTTTATTTTATGATAACTGCAGATTTTATAAATGCCAACTGTAGAGTAACCAAAAGTTCTATAAACTCTAGCTGGGACACAACCACCAACTGAGGCCCTTTGAAAAAAATCAAAGATAATAAGTGTCAGGGGAGCTCTGATCTCCCAAAAGAGAGAATTTAATTAATGAATTTACTTCCCTGATCCTTCAAGCTTCATGGAGGGAAAACTAATTTTCTTTCAAATCAAGGGCACCCCCAATCAATGAAGTGATCAACCCATACATAGAAAAATAAACCCAATAATTTAAAAATATTATCATCACATCCCCTTCTAATCCAGAAGGCAATAGAACCTTGACATCAAAAAGAAAAATCTCTGCAGTGTCTGTATCGTATCACACCAGTGTGTCATTCTAGACATAAGCCTCTATCCAGGTCACATGAACAATATAATCTACACACCACGAGGAGGTTCTGGCAGCGCATCCAAAACTCTTTTAGTCCTCCTGGTGGAGCCCAGAGCATGAATTAGAAACTCTAATGGTTTCAAGCAGCCTTTTTCTTTTTTCCCCAGGAAAGGAACAGAGATGTTGGGCAAATCTCCACACTGCATATGACCACAATCACTACCAAGATGGGGAATTAATTGCTAGGAGGACTGATCAAGCGACTGAACTTTAAGGAACTCTAATGGACAGTTTATAATTTTGTCAGTGATGGACAGAAGTCAGGAGCGGATGGAAAGAAGACTCTGCAATATGTATGCTGAACAGTAATAACATTCTGAAGGTTCAGAAACCTTGACCAGATGAGATCTTCTACATCAAGATAGACACAGGGTGACCTGATTCCCTCACATAGTAGGAACAAGAAGATGGGCTAGATAATGCAGCAGAGGATGGCATGGGGGCTCTCTGATTGTTTTTGTTTACACATGACATAGTTACTCAAGGTGCAGCATGTCTGACTGCAAAATGGACCATACCCTTCCTCAGGGACCAGCGTATGTCAGTTCTGACTCAGGAAGGCTTGGGGCATGTGACAGTTTGGGGGACTTTTGAAAGCTGGCTGAGGTAACCTAAGTTTCTCATTTCATGGCAGGGTTTAGATTTCATTCTACTTTCAAAGCAGACAACATTAATTCAGTAAAAAAAAAAAAACAACAAAACCATAGTCAAAACAATGAACAACCTTTTTAAAAAAAAACCACTGTCTTTTTTTCAGAGATTTTTAGATGACCACTAGCCCACCAAAGCATATATACCAAAAATGCTTCTATCACTGTAGTTTGCTCATGGTTAGAACAAATATTCCACTGCATTTCAATTAGGGCAACAGTCTCAGTATTCCTTATGCTAAAGTAAGGTTGTCTCCCAAAAGTCCCCCAAAGTAGACAGATGTTCAACAAAACAGTTGGGTTAGTTTCTGTGCAAACTGAGTTATCTTTGAATATTTAAAAAAAAAAAGACTGAACACACAGAGTAGAAGTCTACAGCACAGATGACACAGAATGACCTGTGACTGTTTACCACAAATTAAAAAAAGAAAGAAAGAAAAAAAAGCTGCATTCATTCCCAAACCACCCCGACGGCTTAAAGCTGCAATACACCGGTCACAGGCCAAAAGAGTCTGGAATCTGGACTTTAGGGGACACTGGCTTCCTGAAGACACTCAAGCTTCAGACGTACTTTTTTAGTGAACAATCACTAGTTTCCATCATGAAGCCACTTTTTTCCCTCAATATGCTTACTCACCTCATAGAGAGACACAAAGGATTGAAAACTTTTCTTGGTTTGGTTTGGTTTTGAAACAAAAAGGGTGAGATAAATTTTGGTGAAAAGAGGACACAAACATTGTAGCTTCAGCCCCAACCCAGACCAGCACCACAGCCTCTCACAGGCCCTAAATGACATGATGATGGTCAACAGCTCTCCAGGTCTGTCCATGTCTCCTTCCCACTGCTCTGTAACTGGAATCAACTCAAGGAAGTGGTGGTTGTCAAGAGTCTCTAGAGAATGTCCATCAGTGGAAAGCATATAGTAGCAAGAGGATGGTGCAGACGCCAACGACACCACCCAGGATGAGGGAGTCTCGACGTTTGCGCAGGTTGATCCGCTGGATTAAGCTATTCACTGCAGGAAAACGATCTGTAGGAAGGTACATGTTAAGGTCACATGACAAGGAAGGCACCTCTCTGGGAAAAGCCAAAGAGATCACACTGACAGGCACAGAAGATCAGTAGATGGTCAGAAACACAGGTAAAGAAAGAAAAACGTGGAGAGCAGAGATGGCTCCCACTCTGACAGACAAGCCCTGTGGAAATGTGCACTTTACACGACCTGGGCACAGCTTCTCCTCCTCCCGCTGACTGCTGGAGCTGGGAGAAAGATACTTCAGGACATGTCTTGCGCTGATAGCCTCAGGGCGGCCCAGCCCAGCTGGGCAGGAGAGCAGGAGGCAGCTGGGCATCTCCCTCTCTCGGATCATCTTCCACCACCCTTTCTGTTTTCTCTTCCTAGACTAAAAAACTATCTGACAGTAGAAGGAGAGGGTCTTATTTATTCTTGCATCTCCCCAAATGCTAACAGAGAGCAGGCATTTAATAAATGTAACTTAATAAATATAATATTTCTGAACAGACAAAACTTCAGAATACTGTTTTGCTCTTGGAAATAAAAGGAATAACATAACTCTGACTTTTAAACAATAAATTAAACATGATGTTAAATTTGAAGTGAGATGATGGGATCCACAGCTCTAGAAAATGGTGTGCTTTTTTCCTCAATGAAGTGCTAACGAGTCCCTTACTGGTCAGCAAGAGGCAGTGATCTTCTCTGAGTGCCTAACTTTCTAAGTAACTCAGGAGAGTAACTTAGACACTGGTGAGAGAAAGGCTTATTAATCTGCACTTATTTAATGCCTTACTTTTCAATCTCTGGATGTACTTCACTCTAATTAAGACTCGAGAAGTGAGGAATAAAAAAGTTAGAAGTCACAACCAACCAACAGTGGAATCAAAGACCAGAACCACTCACCAAGATGAACTTATACCACAGGCAGAAGCAGCCACAAACAACCCTATGTGCACAGCTGTCTTTCTCTTAATTCTCTGCCAGTGATTTGTTTTGTAAGGGACAAAGAAGCAAGCAGCATGCAATTTAGATAAGCATGTCAGATAAGAACATTTTTTTTTACTATTCTGAAGCTTTAAAAATGCAAAATAAATGTAAGCCAGTGAATAATTTTCAAATCTATACTGCTTTCTTTCCCCTAAGCCCATTTATCCTACAGCACAATGTTCAATCACTTGTGCAATTCATCTTTTGGAGATGAGACATTAGCATAATCTTTCACAAAATAAGGGTGCAGTTTATATTTATATAATGTGACTGTCGAATGTCTTCAAAGCCACTGATGAATGTGGCCATGCCAGAAAGTATAAACAAACACAGATGTCAAACTTTCCCAAAGGATACTGGCCAACGTGTTCATCCTGCTCTGTATAGACTTCAACATCCCTCTCTGGGACGTCATATTTTCTTTCGTTGCCATTGCAATGCTGAAAAGGGCGTGGGAGAGAGAAGAAAATTAAATCACTATTAAGGACATTCAATTCCATTAGCTGTAAAAGGAACACAAACTGATTATCACAGTATGTACTGCCTTGGAAAGTGATGGCTGAGAGGAAGGCAAAAACTGACTTCCCAAACTACCTTCTTGCTGTTTTTTTTCCCCCTCTGCTAATCCTTAATGATCATTCTGTTCTTACTGATCTCCTTTCATATCTTGCTATGTAAAAAGAATATCTAATGTGAAAAATGAAGTCACAAAAACAGATAAATCAGACACTGCAAAGCCTCAAAATGTTTTGGGAGAGGCCGCACGGCATGGTGTAGGAGTAGGAGAATAGAAAGACCTGGGTTCTAATCCCGATTCAGACATTTAAGAGCTGTGTGACCCTGAGCAGGTCACTTAATTACCACACTATACCTCTGTCTGTTCATCTGTAAAACGAGAGGGTCAGATCTCGTGGCCTACTAGGCTCCTTCCAGCTCCAGACTGATGATCCAGTGGCCCCCCCGTAACTCTCTAAGGTTCTAGGTCGCAAAGCAGTTGCCCAACTGCACTGGTGGAAGGCATTCCCTCAGAGGGAATTACCCATGCCAATAAAAATCACAGGTCTAGTCCAAAAAGAGCAGCATTTGGTTTTGCTTTTTCAAAATGCAGGAAGGATTTTTGGGAAGTAGAGAATTATGTGCCTTATAGACAAAGCCTAAAAATGAATTTATTATTCATGATATTCTAATCTACACCTTATGTATGGATCATACTCTAAATTTTAAAGTGGGTTGTTTGGAAATGTAGATTATATTTAGGTTAATAAATAATGGTTAGCAGGGCAACTAGGTGGTGCCGTGAATAGAACATCAGCCCTGTAGTCAGGAGGACCTGAGTTCAAATGCCGCTTCAGACACAACACTTACTAGTTGTGCGACCCTGGGCAAGTCACTTAACCCCAACTGCCTCGCCTAAACAAACAAACAAATAAAGGTTAGATTCCCAGGGTAGTTCACAAATGACCATTTAACCCATACTGTGGCTTGCATGTTCAAGCCCTCGATCTCTTGGCCTTGGGACCAGAGACGAAGCAAAGGTGCTTGGGTCTGGCAGCTCTCAAAGGGATCCTGGGAAGAAGTAGTAGGGATAGTGAGGGTGTAGGGGGAAAAAAGAGCCAAGCAGGGCAGTGGCTGGGCAAAGGGCCATTCATCTAAACATCTCATTTCTTAGCCTAACATTTGTATTTCACAAAGTGCCTAGATAAGAAGGTGGGGCTCCTTTCTTACTGAGCAGCCCAACATGAGGAACACCACTGAAAATCAATGTGCCGGGACAAAGTTAGACCTGCTAAGTGAAATGAAGGCAAACCATGATCCCTGACATTGCATCGGGGCACATCTTTCTCTGATACACAAGTCACTGTTGCCTTCCTCCTAGGAGGCGGCTGGGGATGGGGTGCTGGGAGAGCTCCCCTTGCAACATCCAAAGCTTTCTTCTTTTCACAGGTTTTCTGCCACCATTAAGAACTGTCTCCACAAACCATCTCACCATACATACCCCACCTCCTCAGCGAGCACCTACATCTTTGGGCAGCCACAGTAATGAGCCGTGCCTGCATCACAGAAGGTCACCACTGGCTCATTAGCAGTATGCTCTCTTAGGTACTTCTAGTCCAGTTTGGGCCCTTCTGTACTTGTCTTACTCTCCTTAAGTTCCTTCGGCCGGGAACCAGGTTCTATTTATCTCAGTATTTTCTCAGCACACGGTGTGGTGCCTTTCACATAGTACATGCCTAACAAACACTGATCTTAAATGTTTATGGGCTCAAATGTGAAACAGAAACATAGTAGATGTCTACAGACACATCTGAGCGGAGACTAATGTAGGAGGGCAAACGGAAGGTGGGCAGGGTGTAATGTCACTTGTGTAAATGAGGTTGTCAGAGCTTTGTGGATACGTGTGTGCCCTACGTCAGATTCTGAAGTGATTCCATGGAAACATGATGGATACGGGGCCAGTTAGCTCCACAGGAACAATGTCATAAATGTTATAATGAGGATAACTGGGTAAATGGCATTATAGTAATATTTCACAAATTTGCTATAACTTATTAATAATTATTTGTGAAAAGATCTTAGCTGGACCAGTGGAAGAAAATCAAATGCAGAGATGCACATATCTGTCAGTATGACTGTGTGGCCATGAAAGATGCCACTCAACAGACTGACACCGGCTACAGAAGTGATTGTTGTTTGTGTGTGGAGGTCAAAGAAGAATTCCAAGAAGGGGTATGAAAAGATAACACAATATAGCCGGCCAATAATATGAAGTGAGGTGAGCTGCTCAAGAAAAACTACATGTATAAGAAATGATGAACAGGCTGACTTCAGAAAAACCTGGAAGGACTTATATGGTCTGATACTGAGTGAAGTGAGCAGAACCAAGAGGACTTTGTACACAATAACGGCCACGTTATACGATGACTAATATTGTTAAACTGAACCCTTCTCAGCATTACAAGGATCTAAGACATCTACAGAGGCCTCGGGATGGAAAATGCTGTCCACATCCAAAGAAAGAGCTATGGAAATCGAATCGCTATCACTTATTTTTACCTTCTGTTGAGTTTTGTTTCATCTTTCTGATGGTTCCTCCTATTGGTTTTAATTTTTACTTACAACTTCACTAATGTGAAAATATGTTTAATGGGTATGTAAATGTAAAGCCTATATCAGATTGTGTGCTGTCTTGGGGAGGCTGGTGGGGAGGAAGGGAGAGAAAAATTTTCAACTCAAAAGAATATGGAAATGATTGTTGATAAATCAAAATAAATTAATTTTAAAAAATTAATGTAGGCTTTAGAGTCCTTTGAAAGGTGGTTTTTCAAATCTGGCCTCAGACACTTGACACTGACTAGCTGTGTAACCCTGGGCAAGTCACTTAACCCTGACTGCCTCATCAAAGAGCAAAAAAACAAACCAAACAAAAAAAAGAAAGGTGGTTTTATGGTTCGGTTTTGTGCATAAATTTACTTAAGGCAAGCAGCACTGTCAGTTAAAACAAATGCTTGTAAGTATGAATCAATGTGGCATTGTGGACTGAGTTCTGGACTTACCGAGTGGGATTCAAATCTTGCCTCTGACACTTCTTATAGTATATGACCTTGGGCAAGTCACCTAAACTCTCTCTGTCTCAGTTTCCTCAGCTACAAAATACTGACAATAATCCCTGCCTTATAGGGTTGTTGTGAGGCTCCAATAATATATGTAAAATACTTTTCAAACTTTAAAGCACAACATAAATATGTATTATTAAAATAATATATCCAATATAAAATAACAAGGAGAAAATATCAAATTCACTGAAATTGTTATATATTATAAAGTAAACACGCTGAAGTAATTTTACCTCATATCAAACTTATTAAAATTTCCTTTTTAGAAAAATTCAGGTGTTTTTTTTTTAATGGAGGGAGGAAGGGAAGCTAGTCATCTTACTGCCAAGGAAAGGGAGTCACTGAGGCATCTCGTACATGCCCAGCAGAGAACAAAAGGAACACTCCGAAGGAAACAGACGAGTGGGACAACCGAGGTAGCAGCACGCTGAGTTTATGACATACTTTGAAACAGCAAACTCTGTAGTAAGGATCTGTGGTCTCACACGGGTCTCTGGATGTAACAACGTTTGTGGGGATTTGTTAAATTCAGAATAAAAACATCTAAACCCTCGCTTACAAGACAAAGTAAATGTTAACATGGTCTAAGAGCTCTGGGCTTGGCCTCAGAAAATCCGAGTTCAAGTCTAAACTTTAGCAGTTACCAGGCCAAGTCACTGAAAACAGTCATAATACTTCTCCTATGGAAATACATAACCTGAGCACAATGATCCTAAGTAATGACCAAGCAACAGATGAGAAAGCCAGTGTGGAGAGTACTGTTCACCAGCTGCTTAAAGGGCCGGGACGCTGAACCGTTTAATGCAGGGAGTTCTCCAGTCCTCCACACTCGAAGATGCCTCTGGGGATATGCAGGCTGGTGGCAGGGCTAACCATGCTCAGGCAGCCATGGGCACGGCCTCACCTAGGAATGCTTGGAAAGCTCTTCCCTTCCCTGCCCCAGGTGATAAGGGGCCAGGACCAACTGCAGAGTTCTACAAGCACCGAATTTCCACATATGGTCCGGTGGGTGCCGTGTTTAGGATTGCCTTTCTTTTTCCCCCTTCCTCCTCAGCTGGCCCCTTCTCCCCCGACTCCTCAAGGACTACAGTCCTGCCTCCACTGCCTTGGGGCCTAACCAGGACCAGATCTGAGGCAGCAGTGCTGTTGATGGGAAAAGAGGAGGGACAAGAGAAGAGGGGGAAGTGCCCTCAGCAGTGCACACTACTGACTAATGACTTTGCATTCAATGTATGAACCACTCACTGCCAATGGCCCAGGTCCAGCAGTGGTCTTAGAAACACAGGGCACAGAAGATGTAGAACCGGAAGGGAGGTGAGAAGCCATCTGCACTAATCACCTTATTTTATAGATGAGGAAACTGAGGCGCCAAAAGGTGAAGAGCTTTCCCAAGATCACTGAGACAGGGAGCCTGAGGCATGGGATTTAGACTCAGGCCCAGCTCTTTTAAGGAGTGATCCTTGTGACCCTGAGGAGTGGAAAAACAAGACAGCATGCCAACAACCCATGGAGGGCCAAGGAAGGAAAGAAGGGGGGCCTGGAGAGTTTATGCAGATGTGTTTTTCTCTGTAATTCCTCATCCGTGACTCCCTGAAGGGGAGACCAGGGGGCTGCCCCCAGTCTTCCTGGCATCCCAAACTAGAACTCCAAAACCACTCTCCCTATGAAACACTGTTACACCTGGTGGTGCAGTTAAGTATCATTAGCACAAGACTGTCACTTAACCTCGTTGGCCTCAGTTTCCTCATCTGTAAAACGAACTGAAGAAGGAAATGGCAAATCACTCCTGTATCTTTGCCAAGAAAACCCCAAATGGAGTCACACAGAGCTGGACACAAACGAAAAACAACTAAACAACAAAAACTCTCTATAAATACACTAGTTTAGATGAGAAATTTTCTTTATTAGTAGAGACAGAAGCAAAAAAAAAAAAGATATGAGAAAGAGTTATAAATGCATAGCTTCCCTGAGTTAAAGTCCAATAGGATATGGACACATTTCTGTCCAATTAGGTATGTCCATGCCACAATCTGACACAATTAAAAATGTGCCTTTAAGCTGAATACTTCTTATGACGTCTTTCAAATAGGTAACATGATCATAAAACAATACCTGGCTGACAAATTTAAGGTCAAACCTGAAATCAAATTTCCTTTCAGAAGTTCCTATCTATAAAACAGGGATATTGCCACCTGCACACCTTCAATCTTTCCCAAGTGGACATAGTAAAGATTCTTTTAAAAAATTCCCACAAAGCCTTCTGCATTGCTCAGAGAACAGATACCCTCATCTTACATTATGTCATCCAGCTGAATACTCATGGTTTCCAGTAGTTTATAAAGAACATTCCAGTGCCTTTCTCCTTCTCACTCCATCACCTGAAGTCAAGCTGAGTCAAATCTACATTGCTATTGTTGTTTCAAAGGTCAGAGAAGCAGACAAAATATAAACTCCAAATAGTGCAAATCACTGATGTGCTTATGAGAACTCCTTATACTTGCAACCTTGTCATTAGTTTTTACTTTTCAATTTGAGCTAAATAATCAAGTTATCATTTATGTATGCCTTTATCCTGGGAGGATTCTGTAGTGAGAGCTGAGAATCAAGTCCAATGTTTAGTGACAGCAGCTCTTTCTAACCCATTGATAACTGGAATTCAGCTTTAGTTCAACATGTGCTTTTCAAGTAAACAGAGGTAACGATTAGGATAAAGAAACACCCAAAAGAAAAACAGCTTACTCTATGTTTTAGGAATCGTAACATGAGATTGTTGGTTAAATTCTACATATTAGATAGATACACACACTCCTATCTAGGTTCACATTGCAATTACCTTGCTGATAGGAGAAATATTTTTAAAACTGTGCTAAATAAATTTGTTTTTTAATTAGAAAAAAAATTAGAAAATTAGAAAAAAATAACATCAAGGGTTCCCATATTTTCATAGGATCCTAAGAGTTGGAAGGCCTTAGAGGCCACCTAAACTGTCCCAAGTCCTTTTACAGATGAGGAATCTGAGGCCCTGAAAGATGAAATAATTTGCCTAACATCCTCGAGGTGGTGTGAGGTCAGTCCTTCTGACTCCCAATCCAGTATTCTTTCCACTTAGAGCTCAATCCACGCATCAACAAGTATTTATTAAGATGGGTGGCACACTAGCAATTCCAAATCTTAAACTGTATTATAAAGCAGCAATCATCAAAACTGCTTGGTACTGGCTAAGAAACAGGGAGGTGGATCCGTGGAATAGGTTAAATATGCAAGACACAGTAGTCAATGACTATAGTAATCTATTATTTGATGAACCCAAAGACCCCAGCTTCTGGAATAAGAACCCACTCTTTGGAAAAAAAACTGCTGGGAAAACTGGAAAAGAGTATGGCAGAAACTAGGCATAGACCCAAATCTCACACCATATACCAAAATAAAGTCAAAATGGGTTGACTTAGATACAAAGGCTGATACTATAAGTAAACTGGGAGAAGAAGGAATAGTTTATCTATCAGATCTATGGAGAACAGAAGAATTCATGACCAAACAGGAGATAGACAGAGAACATTATGAAAAGCAAAATGGATCATTTTGATTACATTAAATTGAAAAGTTTTTGCACAAACAAAGCCAATGCAACTCAGATTAGAAGGAAGGTAGAAAATTGGGAAAGAATTTTTACAACCAGTCTCTCTGATAAAGGCCTCATTTCTAAAATATAGAGAGAATTAACACAAATTTATAAGAACACAAGCCATTCCCCAATTGATAAATGGTCAAAGGATATGAACAGACAGTTCTCAGATGAAGAAATTAAAGCCATCTACAGTCATATGAAAAAATGCTCTAAATCGTTATTGATTAGAAAAATGCAAATCAAAACAACTCTGAGGTACCACATCACACCTATCAGATTGGCCAACATGACAAAACAGGAAAATGATAAATGTTGGAGAAGATGTGGGAAAATTGGAACACTAATACATTGTTGGTGGAGTTGTGAAATGATTCAACCATTTTGGAGAACAATTTGGAACTCTGCCCAAAGGGCTACAAAAATGTGCATACCCTTTGATCCAGCAATAGCGCTTCTAGGGCTATATCCCAAAGAGATCAAACAAATGGGAAAAGGACCCACATGTACGAAAATATTCACAGCAGCTCTTTTTGTGGTGGCAAAGAATTGGAAATTGAGAGGATGCCCATTAACTGGGGAATGGCTGAGCAAGTTGTGGTATATGAATGTAATGGAATACTGTTGTGCTATAAGAAATGATGAACAGGCTGACTTCAGAAAAACCTGGAAAGACTTGGATGGTGTGATGCTGAGTGAAGTGAGCAGAACCAAGAGGACTTTGTACACAATAATAGCCATGTTACGCGATGACTAAGATTGTTAAAATGAACCCATCTCAGCATTATGAGGATCTAAGACATCTCCAGAGGCCTCAGGATGGAAAATGCTGTCCACATCCAAAGAAAGAGCTATGGAAGTTGAATTGCTATCACTTATTTTTACCTTCTGTTGAGTTTTGTTTCATCTTTCTGATGGTTCCTCCTATTGGTTTTAATTTTTACTTACAACTTCACTAATGTGAAAATATGTTTAATGGGTATGTAAACGTAAAACCTATATCAGATTATGCGCCGTGTTGGGGAGGGTGGTGGGGAAGAAGGGGGAGAAAAATTTTCAACTCAGAAGCATATGGAAGTGATTGTTGATAAATCAAAATAAATTAATAAAATTTAAAAAAAACAGAATGGAATAAAAAAAGTTTATTCACATTTCATTTGAATCTGCATATTAATACTGTAAAAAAATCTTCCTACCTTATTGTTTCTTCAATCAGTCGATCTGAGCTGCAAATAAAAGGAAAGTTGGATTTAGTTTTATTTATTAAAATATTTAAAAACAGAAATTCTACTGTTCTGTACAAATGAATTGAACATTTTTATTACATTTGAAAAACAGCAATTTCTTTTTGCTGAGCAAGACCTTCAGGAAAGCATTTAGAAAAGATTTTGGAACCTGCAACCAGTTTACTTTGGTCATACACATGGGCTGCTTCCCTCAGCACCTCTGGCCTTCTGGTCCTGGAATATCCAATCATCCCTAAGATATTCTCATCTTGGAATATCTCTCCACCAAGAGAACCTCTTCTCCCATTGGTGACTTCCTTCTAGGGCCTCCATTTTGTGGAGAGGCCTTGGCTGGCCAGGCTTAATTTTGTGTGTGTGTGTGTGTGTGTGTGTGTGTGTGTGTGTGTGTGATGTCCGACTCTTCATGACTCCTTTCGGAGCTTTCCTGCCAAAGATATTGCAGTGCTTTTGTGGAAAATGTGGTTGGGGATGTTGCTTCTACATATCACTCAATCAGGGGGTGGACGCCCATGTTACAACATTGGAGTCAGCTTAAACTGGGAGGGAATGTGAGAGGTGGCTAGTTTTCACTTCCAGAAAGATGCAGTCTAGGGGCTGGATGGAAGTTGAATGAAGGAAGCCATCAAGTGGAGTTGGTGGGTGAATGGACTGAGCAGCAAAAACTATTCTGAGGTTAGATATAGATTAACACATCCATATCCCAAGCAGAAGGGATGTGGGCATACACAAATAAGAGAAAAATTAAATAAGGGCCAGGGTCAAAGAATTGTGAGGATTGAGAGATGTAATTAGGGGTGGAGACTCGCGTGGGGAAATTAGGCACTTTTGATATGTTGTAACCTCTATAGTACCCAGCCAACGGGGAAACAGGAGAATGAAATTCGAATCAGGAACAGGGAATAAAAAGGTGTGTATCTGGCAAACACAGGTGCCCTCACATGCGTGCTCTCACACTTGTGGGATGCCTGGCCTTCCCAGGTTGTTAGTAAAGCTTCTTCCTGGTTCAACAATGGCTTTGTGGAATTCATGGTGGAGATAGCAGATAGCCATTTCCTTCTCCAGTTCATTTTGCAGATGAGGAACTGAGGCAAACTCAGTAAAGTGACTTGCCTAGGGTCACACTGCTATTAAGTGGATGAAACTGGATTTGTACTCAGAAAGATAAGTCTTTCTGACTCCAGGGCTGGCACTCTATCTGTTATGCCATCTGGCTGCCCCCAATACTTTTCCCACCCCCACTCCCAACCTTGTGTATTGTCTTCCCCCATTAGAATGGGAGCTCCTTGAGGGCAGGGCCTATCTTTTCTTTAGGGTTAGCTGTATCCCCAGAATTTAGCACAGTGGCATACTAAAGGCTTAAGGCTTGTTTCCTCCCTTCTTATCTTATCTGTGAATTTTGGATTCAGTCAAAGGGCTGCACTTGAGGATCTAGAGGGCTACCTGCAGCCTCAAGGCTGCAGGTTCCCCACCCCAGATCCAGGGGATTACTACTGCACATAAACCATTTAAAAGAAATATTTTCAAGTTTGTTTTGATAATTGTAAGGAACTATTTGAGCACTGTATAAGAAAGATAACTGTAAGACCACACAGAGAGTGTCAGGGTAGGGAAAAGGAAACAAGAAGGCAGGTCAAAATAATTCGAATAACACTCTCTGTGTATTCTTGGGCAGGTCTCCATTTATGCACCTTAGTGACCTAATCTCTGAAATGGAGATTTTATAGGATTTCAGAATCATAGATTTAGGGCTGGGAAAGACCTCAAAGATCATTTAGTCCAATCCCTTCATTTTACAGATGAGGAAAATGAAACCCATGGTGCTCGGAGTCAAAGCCAACGACAAAAGCAAGAGCTGCCACTGCTGTTGCTGGCAAGTACAGAGAGCTTACTAGGGGCTCAGTACTTTACCAGTATGCTCTCATTTGAGCCTCACAACAACCCTGGAAGGCAGGTGGTGTTATTATTCCCATTTTACAGATAAGGAAGCTGTGGTAAAAAAAAAAAAAGAGGTTAAGTAACTTGTTCAGAGACACACAGCAGTCAGTGTCAGAGGCACATTTGAACTCAGGCCTCCCTAATTTCAGGCTCTGCATAGTATCCACCATGGCACGCGGGCTACACGACATCCTGAAATCAGTCCTTAAACGCATATTCAAGTCTTTCTTCAATCCTACCCACTGTCCCAGGCTATGCTGCTGTCTCTCCCTCATCCTCCATAGGAGCAATATTGCATTCTATTTTATTTAAATGGCCACCTGTCCCAGAGGGAAGCCACTACTAGGTTTCCTTCTCACATTTACGGTGTTTACTAGGTTCTTCATGTTTATCAGTATATTTGATACTGTAACTTCTGCCAAACCCTAAATACATGTCATTTCTGTAATCTAAATTTTGGAAAAAATGAGGTTTGTCAGGGGATGCTTAAATAAGAGCTAACATTTACACAGCACTTGAAGATTTGCAAAGTACTTTACAAACTCTGTTATATCATTAGATGCCATTAATACTTGAACATTCTTAATGTTATATCTACATTAGTTAAACTATCTTATTTTTTTCCCTGAGGTGAAACTCAAGACAAAATTTTGCTTACCATGGGGCTGTATAAGTGTACTTTTCTTCCCTGTCTTCAAAGACCACTTTATGCAATATCTCTCAAGCACAAAGCACTGTTAGGCTTATATTTCTGCTGCAATTGGGCAAATTTATCTGGCACTGGGTTAGGAAAAAAAAGCTACAAAATGTAGATAATCATAATTTATATTTGTTGTTTTTAAGCAGAATGGTTTGAAATGACTGTTCTGAAAAGGGGCTAATTCACAGCAAAGAATCACCATATAAAGTACTAAGAAAGCACTTTATAAATAGTTTGTTTCAAGCCTTTAATCACAGAACTTCAGCCTTCTGTTTGGGATAACTTTGCTCTATTTGACAAACTATAAATGCTAGAACTTCTAATTATCTTTGAGCTTTCATATCACCCCCACCATACCCCATTATGTGCACCTTTAATGAGTAAAAACCAGAAAACGTTATTAAAAAAAATTAAAACAGCTACTTGAATTACTTGCATGTTACAGGAAAAAATACTTGGAAGACCTGAGCTCCTTGTTTTTGTTGAACGCAACAATGTAAATGTCTAATTTGGAGAAGCAGGGAGGGAGAGGACAAATTCGAGATTTTCGCAGATCATCTCAAGAACAATTAAGGATGAAACTGGGAGGAAAAAATGGAAAAGATCAACAGCGAACTTTAAGATACTGGTCTCTCCTATCAGTAACAGTTATTTGATTAAAGGTTTGAGCTTATGAAATAAACTCATCAAACGGATTCTGAGTATTTTATAATGATTCTTCACAATGATTTAACCACCTTTTCAGAACAATCCTTTCAAATCATCATCACAATCTCCCTTATACTATAGGAAGAAGTACAAGAAGCACTAAAGAAAACAAGTGCAGGACGGAGCCACGTGTAAAGGAGGAGGCATGGAATGGAGCCAACACAATTCTGAAATCGTTATGGGAAATTTTCAAAAGAGCTGAGAGAAGGCTGACTTGCATATGCTTGGAAAAAAATAATGGATATTCCTTCGAGGTAGCACAAAATGGCACACAGAGCACTAGATCTGAGTCAAGAAATCTGGGTTCAAATCCTACCTCCTACACTGGCTTAGCTCTCTGACCATGGATAAGTGCCCTTCTCTTGGACTCAGTTTCCTCATCTTCAAAATAGGAGCAATTGATGCCCAGAGTCCTTACTCTAGTTACTAAAAAGGGGGCAAGGACCCCACTGTACTCATTCTTTGGTGATTGAGCCTGGCTTCATCAAGTAAGGTCACGCCCAATTAACCTCATTTCCCCTTCTGACAGAATTACTGCTAGTAACACAGGGATACACTTCAGATATTATACACCATGATTTTAATCAAGTTTCTCATATTATTCTTGTTGAGAAGATGGAGAGATAGAGGAAGATGACAGTACACTGAGATGGGTCCTGAGATGGCCAGAATCAGGGCAGTCTCAGAGGTGGTGACAGAGGGGGGAGGGAGAGGGGGAAGGGACAATATAGCTGCTTCCAAATATCTGAAGGACAGTCATGTGGAAGCAGGATTAGGCTTGTTCTGTTTGGCTGCAGAGGGAAGAACGAGGAAAAAAACGGGCAGAGAAGGGGCCAGATGAGAGACATGTTTTAGAGGTAGAAATGATTCAATTTGCCAACAGATTATCTATTTGGCTAAGTCTAAGGGGAAAGGATAATGTAATGAGGTCTATGATTCAAATCAAATAGCTGCTCACCTAGGGGGAGAAGAATGGAGTTCTTACCTGTGTCTAGCAAGCCCTAGGCACCTGCCTATAGCCAACAGCTGACTTGGTTGGGAAAAAGGGCTGAGGAAAGAAAAGGACTTCCACAATGGCACCTGAAATACTGTGTGCACCAAGACAGTAGTTAGGTTAAAATTGCCCTGAGAAGGCCAGTCCCAGATCAGAAGGGGGGAATTTGGGAGCTTCCCCAAGGATAGGTAGGAGTACTGGGTGATAAAAGTAGGCGTGGCTGTGTTGTAGGCGTGGCTGTGTTACAGACGAGGTCCCCAACTGGCTATTTTGCAGGGAGGGTGAGATATAACCCAAATTCCCACTGTGATCACATACCCTTTGGGGTAAGATATTATAGCCCAGGGGGAGGGGGGGAGAGAGAGAGAGAGAGAGAGAGAGAGTGTGTGCTCGCATACAAGGAGGAGAAGGGGATGGATGCAAGTTGTTCTGAAAGGGACTCAACATATTTTAGTCACAGATACCTTTGGAAGTCTAGTGAAGCCTGTGACCCCTTCCCAGAATAATATTTTAAATACAAAAATAGACATAGGAGTACAAAGGAAATCAATTATACTGAAACACAATTATAAAAAAATTACTGTTGGGGCAGCTAGGTGGCGCAGTGGATAGAGCACCAGCCCTGGAGTCAGGAGGACCTGA